AACCACAAGCGCAAAATGATGACATTTACTGTCAGTGTTCGTGGAAGAGAAAGACGAACCTTGGATATTTCACCACCACATTTGTTATGGCCCTTTTTGCACACCTCTTGCAAATTTAAAGGAAGTGTGAGCTAACAAATACAGAATATAAACACTCTGTCTACGGGGTCAACAAGTTACATACGAGGCCATTAACTATGCCATAAAATATTTGACGATGCCTCAAAGTCCTCCCATCAATAATCACTGCCTGCTTAGTTCCTAAATTATCATAGAAATTGAGTGCTTGGCATCATGAATACCTGCACAGTCATTGTTGTCTAAAAGATAAATCTGCCAAGAACCTCACAACGCAACCTTCATAATCGCAAATGAGCCACTGATTTACCACTGAAATGTAAAAGTCAATGCTAATCAGCTAATGCAAGAGTGAAAATCTTCCTTTGACTGATTTTCTTAACATCGCGCTCACTGCGCTGTTAGACTTTTGCTTCATCACCAGTATTGTGGTGCACAGAGAACATTGATTTAAATCATACAATTTCAGCCATCACTGAGGAAAAAAAAAATGTAATTTGCAAAAGACTTTTTGACAAGGATCCAAGAGCAGTGCTTTTTTGAGATTGATGTCTCGTCTGGCTCACTGCAGTGAAGCAGTTATAAATTGGATGAGAGGAGTGTGCCAAATGGCAACGCTTTTCTCTTTCACTAGCGAGGCGACTAAAGCAAATGCTTAAAAAAAAAAAAAAAAAACATTTTTTTCTTAACTCTTAACTCAATAAATGGCACAATATAGACAGATAAATATAATTGATTGATTTATTTTTAACTGATAGTAATATCCTAGTGGCACGGCGATCGACTGGTTAGCACGTCCGCCTCACAGTGCAGATGTGCAGGGTTCGATTCCGGCTCCGGCCCTCCTATGTGGAATTCTCCCCGTGCCTGCGTGGGTTTTCTCTGGGAACTCCGGTTTCCTCCCACATTCCAAAAGCATGCGCGCTAGGTTAACTGATCACTTGAAATTGTCCATATGTGCGATTATGAGTGTGAATGGTTGTTTGTCGATATGCGCCCTGCGACTGACTGGTTCAGGGTGTACCCCGCCTGCTGCCTGAAGACAGATGGGATTGGCACCAACACACCCCTGACCTTCGTGAGGATAAAGCGGCAGATAATGGATCGATGGATGAATGATATCGTACATATTTTACATTTTATCATCCATCCATTCTTTGTTTTGCTTATCCTCACCAAGGTCATGGTGTACGAGAACCTATCGTAGCTAACTTCAGGCAAAAGGCGGGGTACACCCTAAACTGGTCTCCAGCCAATCACAGGACACATTAAGCCAGACAACCATTTGCACCCACATTCACAATTAAGGACAATTTAGAGTCTTCAATGAAGTTACCATGAATGTTTTTGGAGTGTGGGCGTGCTGCCTACATTTGATTATATTCACTGCAATTCCAATACTTCACTTGAACAAATTCAGAAGAATCTGAGTGAAGTTCATATTTACTCTCAGTAAAATAATGTAACAAGTGAAGATTTTACAGGGAAATAGTTTTATATTCTAGCTCAATGAATCAGGAACATAGTATGTACCAGTTGGAGATCAACAATCAGGTTAGAAAAACAAATCAAAAAGACAGAACATGCTTTTCGCTGTTCCAATGACTTTGAATGATTGATAGTTATACATAATGTTTGTTATACAGTCAAATATTTAACCTATACATCATTCTTAGTTAAAGCAGTTTATACTTAAAATGTAAACAGCTGTTTGGAATTTAGATTAGCTCCTCAGGGATTTTAGTTTGCTGAGAAAGGGGTAACTGATAATGTTTAAATGTTACAGAGTTAATTCATGAAAATGAAAAAGGGAGAAAACGATAGATTGATGAAACTGGTTACTTGCCTTTTCCTTTACATCGAACGTAGGTGATTGGGGTTTCCCCTTGCTGGATTCTGGATATCCCAAAGAGATGATGCAGGGAAAAACGAGGCGGGACAGAGAGTGAGGAGAAGGAGGTTGCTTGATGCAGTCGAGACAAGGTCTGAATACATATCAGCTGCGTAGGCTTGGGGATGGAGTTTTCATGCCGTCATCGTCAGGGGGACAGCATTATTCCTATTTTCTGTTGCTCATCACATTGACACGTGTAGAAACATTTTTTTCCCCAGTTATAAGGCAAACCGTGACTTTTTCACTGTCAGAATCCACTTCATTTGAAAGGTTTGTCACATGGTATACACCAGGGGTGGCCAGCTAGTCAGAGACGAAGAGCCAATTTTTTTACTGTGTTACTGCAAAGAGCCGCATCATACACTTCCTCGCGTGCATGCGCACACACATGCGCGCGCGCGCACACACACACCCACCCACACACACACACACACACACACACACACACACACACACTTTTTTGGCCAAAGATCGACTTTTGAAGTGACCAACTTCCCACAAACGACCCGATCGCGCAAGTGCAAGCATACACACACACACACACTCGCATGCACACACGCGGGTGTCCACCAGTGCACTCGCGCACATATGCACGCACACTACGATGAGCAACAATCAGAATGGGCCGAAAATGAATGAAAGCTCAAGATACAAACAAACAAATCTTTTTTTTCCCCCCTATTTCATCCTCGCACCCCTTGTGGTCGACTTGGGACCAGTTCGCTGGCTCCCGGTCGATTCTGATCGACATATTGGGTACCCCTGCCTTAAAATCAGAGGTAATTCGCTGACTCGCTTAGCACTTAGCGCCGTTGTTTGATCATGAGCGGTAACGCAGTCATCTGATTGGTTGCCTCTATGTCAATCAAGTAATGGGATTGATGATAGGCTGACGTAGTACGTTCTGTGTAGTTAGCGCCTTCGTTTGAATGGCATCGCCACTACTGAGGCGTTTTCGACGCTTGTCGTGTGGAAGCCCGGGAGCCGCATTGAAGCAGCCAAAGAGCCGCATGGTTGGCCACCCCTGGTTGTCACGTAGCGAGATGGTGGTGGACCCCAAAAAAGCAGGCAGGAGGGAGGAGCAGGGTGTACTTGAAAGATTGTATTAAAACTCAGAAAACTAAATCCAAAACAAACAAAGTCCAAAGTATCAAACAAAACACATGACCGAAGATAAAACATAACAATGACCAAAACCTGACTGAAACAAACATGACAGCAGCCAGCAAACAGCAACAAACAAACATGACAGTAGCAAAGAGCAACAATGACCCGACACAGAGTTTTCGGGCTGGGAGTCCTTTTAAAACACTAATTACATAATGACCAACAGGTGTGCAGCTGCAGGGAGAGCCCTACAGTGCCACCTGTTGGTCCCAATCCGAATCATGACACTGGTATACACTTATCCATTTCCTATTCATTATCCTGTTCAGGGACATGTGGAGCTGGAGCTCACCTCAACTGAGCGAAAGGCTGACACCACCCGTCACTGGTCGCCAGTCAACCATAAAGCACATACAGACACAGACAACCATTCGTGGTATAGGAAGGTATCTGCAGTGCATTTTGGTGACACATCAGCCACAGCAAGAAGGTCCTGGATTTGGCTCTGAGAGGTCTGTGTGGAATTGACACAAACGCCGGTGTTTGCATGGGCTTTCTCCAAGTAGTGTGGTTTCCTCTCGCAGTCTAAAACATTCGTTTGAGGACGAAGTGATGAGTAAGGATCTCACAAAATTCATAATGTCACGGTATGAAGAAACGCCTCGATCGCCGTGGTCTTGTCTCTGTACAAAATTGCTTTTGTGTTTGAAGCTTAGTTTAGGGTCGGCTTTAGATGCAGACCTTCCCATGCACTGCTCCACCACTCTCTCCAGTTCATTACAGTACAAAGGCATCCAAATGGCCACGTAACTCAGGTGATCACATTACAAGAAATACACTGATGATTGGCCGATTGGCCCACGTGACACGTATGTAATGTGTACAAAACACGTGTCCACGCTGGCTGTAACTGAGTTACGTAAGGCGCCCAAAAAAGACGACTAATATTTGCATTCTTCCCCGCAAGCGCAAGTCGTGGCCCCGTTGGGCCCGAACTGCCAATGAACCTTCGCTTCAAGCAGGTTACGTTTTGGCTTGCAAGATGTGAGCCTAGGTAAATATGGTGCGCCACTTTTGTGATGTATGACTACGTTAAGCTCGCAGGGGCGATGTCGTCATGAATTCCATGTGTGTGTGGATGACAAGAACACCAAAGATGGATGCAGGAACATTGTGCTGCATACAGTTGTGTAAAACGTTGATAGAGAAATCTATGAACAAAATTGAATCATGTTTAAAGTTTCGGTTAATTTGGGCATGTCTGGACATACTCAGCGCAGAGGTGTCGGCCGTTTGGGCGGAGGGCCTTCTTTTGAGTAATCACGTCAAAGCAAGGGGGGCGAACAGATGGAAAAAGGCTTGACTCAATCACAAAGTGGGAATAAACGAATTGGCAACAAAGAGTTGTTGAATACCAAAAGACGGTTTGGGAACAGCTGTCGCACCCAGGTGGACATTTGTCATCAGCAAAGACTGTGACTTGTGTATTCGGGTAGATCAGATCACTACCGAGGGGCCGGACCGAGGGGCGTGGTATGCAAATCTCGGGGGCAGTGTTTTTCTTGTATTTTGCAATAAAAGTTCGAACGGGCGGAGAGGGAGCCGAGTGTGTGATCATCGGGGCAACTACCGTCGTTCGCTCTCAGAGATCCCTCCCGCTGATATTGAAGACAATTTTCCCTGTGTGCCGAGTCATTTCTTTAACTTTGTCCGAGAAAAACTCTGACAAACATACAAATTCAACAAGGGAACTGGGAATAACCTTTATCTTTTTTTTCAATTTTCCGTATTGTTAGCACATGTTTTGACATTGACAAAAAGTAAACTAAATGAAACATACTGAAACATCAGGACTTTCTGCTGTAAAGTGGTAACTAGAAGAATGTGCATGTGCAGAATAGACATTGGAACAATACCAGGCTTGAAAAAATAAGCAAAGTTTAATTTGTCCATTTGATTTTTAAATTTACATGAATCTTCACAAATATAAAAGACCTGCCCTTTTGCAGGGAACCTAATTGTTTCTCCCAAAAATAACAAAAAGCAAAACATTAAAAATGGGGATTCCTAATCACCTACAAGCAAAATTCTATACAAACAATATTCCAACAGGAAAACTACCAATGCAGTTTATCCTGTGGACGCTTCCCCAATTATTCAAGGAGGCTCTTCATTTTGTCTGGTTTTGTGACTCTAACAGTCTTTATGATGCTCAACTCTTGGAGGAACCTTGAGTGGATCATCAAATTTCTTGTCGGAACACCATTAGGTTGCAACATTTCAAGTGACAATATCAGCTGGTTATTTAATGATGCCCGTAGATGTCAATGCTTAACTACTCCTTGTCACTGAGGTGGTTTGTCAATACCTGCCTAAGCATCACATTATATCTGCATCCGTATCCTCTTTGCAATCATCTGTTGGGGGACTTGAGGGTGCACGGAGTGGCATGACTCAGAACCAGGTTAGTTTGTTTTTTTATCTCTCTCGATGCTATGTCAGTACTCACCATTATTTGGTGAGTACCTTGGAGGTAGAAAGGCACTATAGAATACTGTAAATGGAGTGTGCACTCTCGGAATATATGTTGCACTTGAAAGTGACAGGTGCAATGGGTCTTTGAGCCGGCTTCCTGTTGTTTCAGCATTGAGCTGTTGACAGCCATCAGTAGGCTGTTTTCCCGTATGATGCCATGTTCTCTAGTATCCATTTGTGGGGCACTGAGATGTAGGCATTCTCTTAGTCAGTTCGGGGATTCTTTATGCAGGTGTGCAGAGCCTTAAGAGTCTTGGGAGTTATGGCTTTCAAACTGGTAGTGGCGGGCTTCGGCCTCTTGCCATTGCTCTCTCTCTAAACTCTACAAGTGACTCAGAGAACTTTGCTGTTGTGATTCACTAAACGTTTGCATATATGCATGTGTTTTCATATATACATGTACAATGCCAGTGTCCAAGGGTTCAAATGTCACTATTTCTGTGGTACCAATGGCTGCAACAGTGGTGGTGCAATTTTATCTCTCTTTAGCAAACTGGTTTTGGCTGCTTTCACACCTGTGTGGGAGTGGAAAAAAAAGAAATTATTTTCAGTCTTTTTAAATGTAACATAGCAGGCTGTGTGGACACAAATCCACTCAGTACAAATCATCATGTGTCATCAGAGAAGGGGTGGTGTTAACTTAGGGTGGTTTCACACCTGGGGCTCTATTCTTGTAAGCAGCGCATACGTGCTCGAGCGTAAAAACTGGTGCATCTTGATTTTTGTGACGACTCAAGCTTAGAAGAGCATGTTAAATAATTTGGCAGAGCATGCTGTGCCATGCTGGGTTTTCGGTGGACCGAGGGCGTTTTTTTTTTTTTTTTTTACAAGCGGCTGAAATGGCTGTTTCTTAAATATAGGTTGGGAAACTGTCATCTGTGAGGGGCTCAGAAGAGAACAACTGCTTCTCAACATTGAGAAGAGCTAGATGCTGGATGCTCAGGCATCTGGTTAGGATGTCACCTCGATGCCTTCCTGATGTGGTGTTAAGAGACACATCACAGTGAGAGGAAGGCACGGGCTAGACACAATGGGGAAACAGTTCCCCACCTACCTGGGGATCTCCTTGGGATCTTCCTGGAAGAGCTGGACGAAGTGGCTGGGGAGAGGGATGTTTGGGCTTTACTGCCAAATCTGTGGGCCCCAGAGAGAAGTGTGTGTGTGTGTGTGTGTGTGTGTGATATATATATATATATATATGGCGGCCCAGTGCTTGAATGGTTAGCGCGTGAATGGTGCAGGGTGCAGGGTTTGAGTTTGCATGTTCTCCCCATGTCTGCGTGGGCACTCCGGTTTCCTCCCACATTCTAAAAAACATGCCTGGCAGGGTAATGGAACATTCTAAATTGTCCCTAGGTGTGAGTGTGAGTATGGATGGTTGTTTGTCTCTGTGTGCCCTGCGATTGGCTGGCAACTGGTTCAGGGTGACCCCCGCCTACTGCCCGAAGACAGCTGGGATAGACTCCAGCACCCCCCATGACCCTTGTGAGGATAAAGCGGATAGAATAGAACATGCATGGGGAGAACATGCAAACGCCACACAGGAAAGCCAGAGCTGAGATGGAACACACAATCTCTGCACTGTGCCCTATGTGCTCCACATGGAATGTGATTTTGGTGGATGTATGGGGTTCCTGTCATAGTATTTCATTCACAAATTTCCAACTACATCATCTATAAGGGAACCTAGCGGTTTGCTTGCCAATATCACGGAGTGTATTTCTGTTTCCGCAATGTCAAGCACATGGCGTACTACCCTGATTTTAATGCAAATATGGGATGGTGCTACAATTGGCCGGAAAAAGGCTATGTTACGCCCGATCCTACCTGCGCAAAGTACAGCAAAACACTAAAAGTAAACTCCACCCATGCACACAGTTAAGACTGCACTTTGCGGTAAACTTGCACTGGGAACAAAAGTAGAGCCCATTGTGTTCAGTCAAAACATGAAAACATCGTTGTGTGGCAAGTTTTAAGAAACCATGTGCAGTTGTGATGTAGGCAAAAATCTGATCACTTTTTATGAATATTTGATGAAATGTATGGATTCCAGTTAATTCCAAAGGGTTTACTTTGGTTTCAACTGAAAAGATCACCAAATAATACCATGTCATGGAACTCCAGTGTTCATTGAAATATTTCAGTCTGTTCCAAAGTGGTATGAAACTCGTAATTAATACTAAATTTCAAACGCTTTCGAATACAATCAAAGTGTATCGCATTAGTGTTGACTCACTCATTTTAATCGTTGTCTTCATTGGTTTGGGTGCATCTGTGTTTAGGATCCATGGATGACGCAAAGCCTGTTCTGGTGTTAGGCGTTTCTTTGTATCATATCTGATAAACAATATTCTTTCACTGAATGGACATTCATTAACATCTACGCTTTGATGATTAACCGTATTTTCTGCACAATAAGACACACCTAAAAGCATTAAATTTTCCCAAAAGCTGACGGTGCCCTTTATAATGCAATGCGCCTTACATATGGTGTTGCAGTCTCTTTATATTCCTCATTGAGTTGTTTCCCTGTTAGTGTTCCAATGTCATATAGTGCTAATTATTTGCAGGAACCAATTGTAACCTATAACACTAATTGACATGTGCATTTGCCAACACACACTCAAACAGATAACTACTTGGTGAGCTCTGGGTAGCCATAATGAAACGAAGATAATACTAAAAGCATAGTTAACTACTGACTAAATGAAGGAAGAAGGAGACAAGCAAGACTTCTAAGGATATTTAGCCCCTTGTGCATGTGAGCCCATGAGGTTTGTGTGCCTTTTTGTTGAATCAATTTGTCTTCATCACTTTTGTCTTTCATTTATAGTTTTGCAATGCCGTTTGTATTTATGTTTCATGTCCGTGTTTTTGACCAGTTCTCATGGCTTTGTGACAGCTGCAGCAGTTGTTAAGGCTTTATATAAATAAAGTTGGATTGTATTGTATTCCTTTTAGCTCCATCTAGTGAATGCATAGTGCAACGGCAGCCACAATTGTAGCTTCTATTCTATGCGCCTTAAAATGCAGTGCACCCTCTATATGAAAACAGTTTTAAAATAGGCCATTCATTGAAGGTGCGCCTTAAAATCCTAAGCTGCTTATAGTACAGAAAATACAGTATGTCATTATATGTACGCTTACTCTAAACAGTATGAAATGAAATCCAGAAACTTTGGATTGCTTGATCTTATCCTCACGGCCAGTGTATTTTTTTGCTGTTTTGTCGATTCAATGTCTGGGCTACCTGCATAAAAAAACAGTAAGTGAAAAGGTAACAAAGAGCAATGTTAGTCACGATGCTGTTGTGCTTCATTCATCAGTAACTGTTACAAACCAATGTGCTCTTAAAGTCTAAACACAGCATGAATATGCGTTTGTGGAATATGAGTTAAACGGCAAAATCCACCCATTTTTAGCCATCTCAGGGGTCAATCATTTTCCCACTTGCTGTTGATTGAAAATGACATCACAGTTGCTCAAGACTCAGATGACAAACAATCATGGCTCAACTTCAGAAAACCAGTGAGCTCCCTGAGATGGATAAAAACGTGTGGAGTTTATTTATTTGGCTTAATTCATAGTTCACAAATGCAATAATAATCAGAATGCCGTGTTTGGTGTGGTGGGAGCGCATAGAACATATTACTGTAAAGATCACTTTTGGGTTGCCGCCCCCTTTAAGTCATAATTCAAGATCTTTGAAGATGAATGTGCTAAAAAAAAAAAAAAAAAAAAAAATACATTGTATGTGTTCTTATGTAACAGCTTATACAGGTACTTATCCAAATTGTGTGTGTATGCAACAAAGTGTTTTTCTTTTTTCTTTTTTATTTTTTTGTCAACTGCAGTTAATTCGGTGATATTTATGACCCACCAGGTCAGGGCTCAAGCAATGACCAATCATGGCCAGAGGTGTCAAACGCATTCATGTTCATTTCTCAAGCAAAAGTATAGATATTTGAATTTGTTTTAAATTCTGTAGAGTTTGAGGTATCAACTCAAGCTTTTTACTGTAGTAGAAAAAGGAATGATTCAAAATTACTTATAGTGAAAAAGTAAATGTAATGTGAGGGAGGGAAATGCATCCAAGCAGAAGTCAAAAATGTTCTCTTCAACATCTTGTGCCCTGATAGTGTAAATATTTTTCAGATGAATCTAGCTTCATGGAATAATCATCAGATTAATCCACCCCACCCCAAAGTTTTTGACTTGACTTGAAGGACCGGGCCACATCACAGGAATATATTGTGCACTATCCCACCAACACGCCCAAAAACTGTTTTCAAAAGGCTATATGGTTCTTTAAAAATGTTGCATTGAAGTCTACTGCAACTTCAACTGCAACCCATTAAAAATGGTCCCTTCGAATAGTCCTAAAAT